TTTTATGTCTTTTTACTATTTTAAAAAAATATAAAATGTTAATTAAAATAAATATTATATATTAATATATTTTATATATTTTTGAGATATTAAAAGACTAAAAATACCTACGGCTATAGCTACAGCCCAGCGCTCTCAAACCAAGCCTTAGTGTATTTACATACCATCACAACAGCTCTGACAAAACATATCGCACTCAGCTGCTTTCTGGGAGATCCTGACATGAGAGCATGACTTTTTGGAGATCTTACAAGACTTTTGGCACACATGAAGACCATTTTTTTCTCTTAAAGAACCCGTGCTTGGTTTGGTCTTCATTCGTAAAGATGGCATTTGCTCTGCAGATTTGATGGGTACTGTGATTTTGATTATGGAACATCAGTGGGGAAAAGACACCCCTATACAATGCGCAGCTGAGGCTGTGTCACATAGATAGCCAAGATAAGAGACCAAGATAGGAGGCAAAGATGCATATATAAAAAGATGTAAATATGGGGTCTATTAGAAACGATGAAATTGTCATATAAAGTGAATATTACTCAAGCAAAAATAACTTAAAAGAGTAGTTAAACATTCACATTTGTGTCTCACTGCAGAAAATCTCACTCTGTTACATCAAAACTTAAGAGTGGTTGACTTTTCTAAAACCATGATTTGAAACCACATGCACAAATTATTGACAGACGCTGCTTATTGATTATGAAATTCAGAAGATAAACAAAGTATTAGCAACTGACTAGATGACCTAAGGCTCAGGAAAGAGAAATATCATGTTTCTGCCCTACATTTCTCAGGCTTAAGGAGACAAATTAAGTTTGAAACTTTATTGCTCCATCAGATGTTGCACAAGAGCATGACATATTATTAACTTGAACAACAAACTTTGGATCAATATTATTGCAGTTGGGGGAAAAAACGAAAAAATTGCTGGTGTTGCTCCATTAAAAAGTTTTAGATTTAAACTGCTGATCAGATATAGTTTCTCAAGGTCTTCTAAATTCCAAAAAGCAATTTAGAATAAATACAACATAAAATGTTTTCAGTCCCATACAGTACCATATTCCAGTTAAAATCGTAGACTCTATGTAACATGACAAATTAGTCTAAAATCTTCTCCAGTTATGATTACAAAACTAACAAAAGACCATTACAACCCAGCTATGTTCGGAACTGTAGAAGAAAGAAAGCTTGAACAAGATTCAGCCGAATATAACTTTACAAAACAGATATGGGAAAAGGATGCTAATTTAGGTAAAATAAAATACACACACATGGGTTTAGAATTTAGAGTATTGGGTTGAAGGACGTAATTTCTTGTAAGGAAAAATTAATCCCTGATAGATAGAGAGAGAAACAGGAATTAAGATATAAAACCAACTTCATGGGAAGGCATGAATCAAAATCCATATCACAAAACACCAATAAAGCTCCTTATAAAAACCCAGGGGATCAAAGTCAACCTAAGTCATTAATCCGATAAAATACACCCAAAATCCATCATATGCAGCTCAATTACATAGAAAAATAACAGAAACTTACAAACACAAAACTGAAAAAAACCTAGTAATGCAAAATCAAGGGGTACCTTATGCTCATAAACCCTAACAAAATCCAGCTTGAATGACAGTTATACAGTTTCAACTATAAGTTAAACAGTAATATAAGAGAAACCCAGAAACACCCAGAAAGCAGAAGTACAAACTCAAGCACAATAAGCTCAAAAGATGAAAACTTTACGATTAAAGAAAAAGAGATTAGAGGAAAAATTAAGGAGAAGAGAATGGGAAATACCTGTTTAGGAACAAAAAGACTCTTTCTAAGAGACTTTTAATTATGTGTTTCTGTTTCTCTCTCTTAACTTCCACGAACGGTCAAGGCAAAGGGAGAAATGTCGGCGTCGACGGACGGAGCGGACGGCTGTGATTGGATCTTAGGGGGGCGTTTTCGAACGGTAGGAGTTTGCCACGTGGACTGGGAACCAGCTCAGCTTGACGCGTTGACACGTGCAGGTTCGTGGAAAGATAGGGAACTCTCTTGTGGACGGAAACGTAGTTGAGGGTTTCCCCATTCGCGTTCCTAAACGCGTGCTTAGCACCTCTGTTTACGGCTGTAAGTAACGTTCCTAATTTTTTTTTAGGGGCTTTTGACTTGTGCCTAATGCATAAGTTAAATCTCATTTATTTTAGTATTTGGAATTAATTTTATATAAAATTTTATATAACATTTAAATATAATATAATATAAAAAATAAAAATATTTAATATAAAAATTTATATAAAATTAATTTTAATAATATTATAATTAATAAGTTTTAATTTTTATTCTTGTGTCACGTATTAAACAAATTCTTTTTTATTTATAAAAAAATATTTTGTAATTTATCTTTTACCATGTTATCAAAATTTTATTTTTTAATTAATATTTTAAAAATTAATAATTTGACAAAAAAATTTATTTATATAAAT